CTCACAAGGAGCCTCTCCTGGGCCCAGCAAGACCTTGTGTTTGTGCTGAAGCACTTGATTAAATCCTGCCATCTTTGCTGGTTGTTAGGGAAGCACCTTCTTAGTTATGCCACACATAATATTCAATGTTTTTGAAAACCCAATATTTTGTTCATTCTGTCTAGGGCATCATCTCTAAAGGTTATTTTGCTTTCCTGGAGAGATCACAGTCAGGTCTCTCTGGGGTCTAAAGGGTTTTAAAGCTAAGAGGGTCCACCATAACCTCTTCATCAGACCTCCTTCATGTGAATGACTTCGATCGCAGCCACTGCCTCAATTTTTGTCTTCTCACCAGTAAAAATGTAGCGCCTGATGCCACAGCGGCCATCGCAAGGCTTCAGAATTAACAGTGCTACTGACGAGAATCCCAACCCGTGCGGAAAGTGCGATAAGAATGGCAAGTTTGGGTCGTGCCCGGGACGTTTTCCCTGCCCGCGGGGGCTCCCGGAGCGCCTGAGGCGATTCCCATTCCCGCGCTCCCCGTGGGCCCCCGCCCCCGCCCGGCCGCGCTCCGCCCCCGGGGCCGCCCCAGGTACCGGCGGGGGGGCGGCTCCCGCCACGCGAGCAGTGGCCGCGGGACCGCTCGGCTCGGCTCGGCTCGCTTCGCTTCGCTTCGCTTCGCTTCGCTTCGCTTCGCTTCAGTTCAGTCCGGCTCGGCTCGTCCCATCTCGGCTCGCTTCGCTTCAGTTCAGTCCGGCTCGGCTCGTCCCGGCTCGTAAAAGGTAAGAGCCGCGGCCCCTCTGGGGGGGCTCCTCCCGCACCGTCGGGGCTGCTTCCCCTCGAAGGTGGCGGAGAGGGGGCTGGCGGTGTTCCTCGCCTCACGTCCCCACCGGGACCCACAAACTCCTCCTGCCCTCCTCGCACCGAGCGCCGGGGCTGTCGCCGGGCTCCGCGGGACGGGAAGCGGGAGGTGCCCGGCGGGTGAGCGCCCAGTGCGTGCTCCGTGCCCCGAGGTGTGGTGTAACGGGCAGCCCTCGGGAGCGGCGGGGCGGAGAGGGCAACAGCAGTTCCATCTCTAAAATAAACATTTCCCAGCAATGAGGGGCGATATAATATTGCCTTATCTCTAAGGTACCCTCAGCCTGGCGGGGGGGAGGCGGGAGAGCGGGGCCTTGCCGGCTGTTCTCCAGCTGGTGCATAACCCGCCCGTGCCCGGCAGCCCGGGCAGTGCCGGCTCGGGGAGGGGGAACAGGTGACAATAACTGCTCGGCCATGGAGCCCTGCCGGGAAACGCGGCACCGCTGTCGTCGTGGCTGCTCGGGGCAGGGCAGGGACCCGCTATTGCCGGACAGCACAGCCCGCCCGAGCTCTCACCGCCGAACAGCCGGAGGAGCCAACTTGCCCGTACCCACACCACCCTTAGGGCCCCCGGCAGCGAGCCCACCGCGCCAAGCCAAACGGATCCATCTTCTAATTTAGCACATAAAAAGTATCAACTCTCCAGTTTGTCCAGTTGCTGCCGCACAAAACGCATGTGGTATTTTTTTTGCCATGCGTTCTGGGACAGCTCGTTGGTTTTCCCCGCGCTTGCCAGCCCGGCAGTGCCATTGATGAGCGCGGTAACATCATGAGCCCGTGGGACCGCAGCGGCATCGCCAGCACCGGCACGAGTGGCTCCACCTTTTTGCCTCCCAAGGTTCTGTCTCCATGCTGTCCTTTTGCTTGTGCAGTGCATCAGGTTGATCTGGCCTAAATTAAGTGTAACTTGTGCAAAAAGAAAAAAAAAAAAAGGGGAGGGGTGTGTTTGTGAAATAAGTCTAACGTGGATTTTCTCATATCTTGAGACAACATAAGACCGTGGTCTCAGAACGTGTTTCTGTGAAATTCTTTGGTGGCAAATCTAGTTTTGACTTCTGCTTTGTTTCTCATCACTTATTCTTCACCCAGTGCTGCACTCACAGTTGTGCAAATAATAGTTTGCAGGGCTTCAGAGTTGCCTGGATTAGCTCTGTTCAAATAACATTCTCTTGTTTGGCTTTTTTTTTTCCCTCCAAAGGTAAAAATGTCACTGAAACTATAATTTTGATCTGTGTGTTTGCAACTGTACTCAAATCGTGGGAGCACTGGTATTAGGTTACAGAGGGTACAAAATTGAATCCATACACTGCTGTATGGAAGTGTGTAATTAAAAGGCTTTTACATCCTGTTATTGTGCTTGCTATCCTGGAGGTGGTTGTATATGCATTTACTGGGACTTCACTGCCTTCAGGACAGTTTTATCAGAACAATTTATAGTATAAGTCAGAAGAGAGACCAAATAAACCAAATTAAAATCAAACTTCCTTTGCAATTTTGACAAAATCGTGATGCCCTCTTTGCAGACCCAATATATTTTCAGGTGACAAAGTGAGAAGACTTACTTGCTTTAGGTTTTAACAGCAGTAGTTCTTGTGTGTCGCAAAGCAACGCAAAGTATTTGTTAACATGATGGTTGTCATGTTGTAGTTATGTTAGCTATGTAGCTCAGAGATGGTTTTTCCTACCTTCGTTTTCATGTTTTCATGCAGTTCCAGATTTAAATGTGCAGGTCACAGCATCACAGTTCAGGGTCTTGCATCACTCTGGCTGGTTGTGGTGCCAGGGAAGGCTCTCATGTCCTCCCCAGTAGGTACATGTCTATTCTTTGTTACTAGCTGGGCTGAAGAAGTAGGGGTTTTTGAGCCAGTTCTTAATGGCTAACCCTGAGAAATGTCCTGAACTAGTCATTTAAGGTATGCTTTTTGCTGTAAAAATGTATCTTGTGCTTCAGGTTCTGCATATTTAGAGAGCTCCTGGAAATGTGTGCTTAGCTTAGTGCAGTAGTGTTTGATATTTGAAATAAGCAATAAGATTTATGTTTGGAAGTATTAGCTCATTAAAAAATGGGACGTGTGAGGGTGCTTGTTGTAATCCCAGTTAGCAGGTGGCTTACTTTGCAGCATGGGAGAACATCATAGCACAGAGAAATGAATTAACTTACTCATCACAGATTTTCTGCTTGGAAAAGGAGGATAAAAAGCAGCAAATTAGACTTCTGCACTGCAGAGGCATCCTGAGCTGGCCCTGTCTCTGTGTGATTCTGGTTTGCAGGTGGTTCTACAATTCCAGTCTCTGGTCACTTGATTTGGGGAGGACAGCAGCTTGTTTTTACCTATAAGTGAAAGGTTTTCGACCCAGTGATGCAGAAAAATCTGTAACAGTCTCCTGCTCATTGGTGGAGGAGTGTGTACCTGAATCTGCATGTGGCCTCACTCTAGCTCCAGATAGGGTGAGTGCTATCACATGCTTGAACTTCCCTTATCTCCCACCCCTGTGGGAGGGCACAGTCATGGCCTTTTCCATGGTGGGCTGTATCCCAGTGCAGAATGTAGCTGTGCCTGCCTTCCAGCTGGGGAAGGATCAGCAGGGACTCACATGTGTCTTGTAGCAGAGCTGGTACAGATTCATCTTGTGTGTTGTTCTGGGTGCTTTTATGTCTCTGCTACTTCAGTGTATTCAGCAGTGAGGTGCTCAGAAATATTTCACTATTGCCAGTTCCTTCCTGAGAAAGAGAGGCAGAACTGCAAGGCTGGAGATCCAATAAGAAGGGGACTGAATTCCGGATTTCTGTTGCCTCTGCCGTCACTGCAGTGCCTGTGACAGGAAGGAAGGGCTTTGGAGGTGGGGAGTTTTGTAACAGCCATCAGCCTCGTCGTTGTGCACTGTTCTCTGGGACAGCCTCAGCTTGCAGTTCTGGAGACCTAGACACTGTCTGGCTCCAGGATTCCAAAATTCAACAGAATATTCTGGGAATTGTGGAAATCTCTGCATCCACTCTTTAGGGAATCAGGAAGATAAAAATCCCCTCTTCCTTGCATCCTTTGGAAGAGAGCTGATCTGGGTTCAGCTACTGGGTTCCTTTTACCAGGAGAGAATTTTTTACTGTTAAATATTTTTCTCAGTATTTTCTGGAGTAGTGAGCTTGCCAACAGACATGGAACCATGTGCTAGTAAGAGAGTGGCAAACACTCAGTACTCACAGAAGAGAGTAGAAAAGTGGAAACTTCTATTTCTTTAATATTACGATGACAAAAAAAAATAGAGGGACTAATTCCTCCTTCCTGAGAATTTTATTGTGGCTCTGAAATGTACTTTGAGGATGAGAAATGTCGTGCATGAAGTGGGAGAGGCATGGTTTGATGTTTGACTCCAGGAAATCTTTCTAACAACAGTCAAACCAAATGTATTTGTAAAGTTAGGTGGCAAAAAAGTGATACCTGCTGGTTCTTGACTCGTGTTCCACGAGTGAGCCAGAGGCTGTCACAGGGAGCAGCTATTGCAGAGGGCAGGGCTGTGAGAGCAGGAGGAAATGTAACTGACACCAAAAAATGTGCAATACTTTGGGCAACACCAAGCTGCTGTCGTGTTGCCAAGTGAGGTGATTGTCAATTGTGTGGATCCTGAGAAAGGATTTGTCTTTGATCCAAATTCTGGCCCGGAGTAGGTGGCTGCAGCCTGTTACTTACAAAAGGTCTGAGTGTGCCCAAGTGTTCTGGCAGTCTCCACAAGGCAAGATAATGGAAGTCAGGATGACAAATGGTGCTGTAGCCTGGTTTACTGGAGAGGAAATGCACCAGACACACACTTGGCCTTTAGACTGTATTAGCCATGAAAAAGACAACTATGTTCTGTTATTGTTTTCTGCTCTAAATCTGGAATAATTACTACTTTAAGGTGGATTTTTTTGTGTAGATGTGTTGTAAGTTGCAAATATTTCCATGTCCTATTGCAGTTGTCTTTGCAGCATGGTAGGCTTTGATCCAGGTGTGCAAAACACCCATGTGTACAGAGGGATTTCAGCTGCTTCTTGGTTCCATTTGCTTTGCTGCCTTTCTTCAGGAAATGTGTAATGATTCCTATCTAAGGTTTTCCATCCACTTGTGAGATTTATCTAGAGCTTTAATTTTAGATGAGTAAAGATAATCTCCCTTTAATTAACTTTAAACTGATGGCTTCAAATGTTTGCTGTTATCTTAATATATATCTGTCACTAACTCAAGCACTGTTTCTGTTCTCTTTGTACACTACAGGACTTTCCTCTTTACCTTCAGTGGAGGAAGCTCAGACCTTACACAGCACTGTGTTCCCAGCCTAACCTGCCTATCCCTTACCTAATATTCTTATTATTCATCTTTATCATAATCATTGTAATCCTTTTGCTTCTACATCGCAGGTTCAACAGTGTGACCACTCTCTTGATTCATATACTTACAGCAAAGCCTTCATCTCTCTCATGGATTATAGATCTAAATTGGTAACTATCACTTGCTTGCAATGTTTATTAGTAGTTATGTTAATTGCTCATACTCTATTTTCTGCTTTTGATAGATCTCTCTTGTAGAACAGCATTTGTATAAGTCTCTAAGATCACAGCCTTATTTCCTTTATGAGCTTTATCCTTAAGACAACACACATTGGCTGTAAAAAATTCCATTGCTTGGTAGAAATCTGGTTCAGAATTGAACTTAATTTCTGAAAAAGAGAACAGTATTTATTTTCCAATGACAGAGCACATAAAGGAGTGAGTTTTTATAACAGAAAATTGATGTAGATCTGTAATTTGTGAACTAGAATATTTTAAACTTATATGCATTTTCTAAGACTCTTTTGGGAAAAAATACACAAGGTCTTAATGCTTTTGAGAAGAAGTTATATTGCACATTAGTAACTCCTCTCATAGGTTACTGTAGAAATACAGAGGAGTGGTTTCACCCCATCCTCTCATCTGCCTAATTAAAGAAATGTGTTTTAGTGGATGATGATGAAACAGTTTTATTTAAATTGTTACTGGTCCTAAATAACACAAGACAAATATAGGAAATTACAGTTTTGGCTTTTAAAATGAAGCATATGAAAAGATTTTATTGCTAGAACTGCCCAGAAGTTGTAATATAGAGAATACACAGTTTCATAACAAGTTGAATTTGCAAATGTGTCTTAGGGCATAGTTTGAAGTATAAGTTGCATCAGTGTGACCAGGTTTCATGGTTAACTGGGGTGACTGACAGCAAAAAAGGAAACTCTTTCTCAAATTCAGACCTTCTCACATGTCTGTGAACACACCCATGTGTTTGCTAATAAGGAGACCTGTAACCTTCCAAGGTAATGATTGAATTTCTTGTTTCTTGTCTGTGAGAGGATAAAGAACAGCCCTCCATTAGTTTGTAGCTAAAACTGTAAGGGCTGGCAACACTAAAATTCAACCTTAGCCTTTTGCTCCTGGCAATACATAAATGGCGAGATACATCAGTTGATGTTTTCAACACTTTAAACTTTTACTGAAGTTGGCTGTAGGCAAAAAATGTTGCAGAGCAGGGTTTACAGTGACCACTTTCAGTGATTCCTAAGAGCAGGAGCACTTCGATGTTTTGTGTTGCACTAGAAACAATTCTGAATCTTCACCATGATGCTGGTCACAAATTGAGGAGCACAGCTGTGTGGATCCATCTATGTGACACATTTCAGTGAGCACTAAAAACAACAAAGGCTGGTTTCCTATGGAGGTGTCTTAGGGCAACAGGCTTTTTTCTTTTAAAATTCATTAGACCAAAATAGAAGCTAAAGGCAGGAGAGCCACCTTGACCTAGGAATATATTCTTTGGTGGCTAATAAGCTCTGATTAAGATTTTATTGCTTTAGAGCATTTGCAGCATCCTGCTCTTATGTGGTTTCTTTGTCTAATAAAGGATGAGCTCACACTGCAGGCTTTTTCCTCAATAGGGAAATAATCAGGTATCTCAGAGCTACAAAACTGCCTATTCCCACAAAACTAGTTGGAAGTGGCTGTGTTTGAGACCTTGCTCCCATTGCTAAATGCACGTGGGGAAGAAAGATTGTCAATATTAGTATGCTCTTAGCTACAAAAAAGAGGGCCACCCAGGCAAAGAACTAAATGATGCAAGGTCTCATGCTGAAGTGTTCTCAAGGACGATCTGATTGGCAGCTTTTCCCTCTCTTGTGTAATGGGTTTTATGTCCTGTAGCAAAATCTTTCCTTTATAAGTATTTTATTGAGGATTAGTCCAAGACAGTCAAAATGGAAACTGTCACGAGCCTCTCCTTTGCCCTCTGTGTGCCAGCTGTATTTGACCTGGTCTCCTGTAACAGAACTCTCCTTGGGCTGTGTGTTTGTGTGAAACAGCAGAGATACTGTTCTGTTAGGAGCCATCCTAAAAGAGCATCTGTGGCTGTGTGCCCAGGGAGCAGGGGTTACACTGCCAGCTAAATGGCCTTGGAGCAAGGAGGGAGGACAGTCCCCTGGGAGCAGTGGCTCAGTGAGCCTTCGGGTGGTTTGGGCAGGAGCTGCCTGACCTCAGCGTGTTATCTCCGTTTCTCTGTGCTGCAGAATCTCCTCCAGGTGCAGAGGGTCTGCAGGAGATGTGATTTCGTGCACCTTTCTCTCAGTAGCATAGCAACTGCCACCACTTCCCGCTGCTCTGTCCCCTCTGCTTGTCTCCCTCAGCCGTGCGGGATCAGGAGCTGAACCAACTTTACAAACAGCCCTGCAAAACAGGAGAAGCTGTGGGAGGATTTATTTTTAACTGGGATCTCCCTGTTCTCTGATCCAGCTCTCTGCAGGGTCCTCAGGGCTGACATGACTGGAGAGTGCTTGGAGCAGGAGTGAGACAACAGGTGGGGAAGAGAAAGGGAGGGGAGGAGGACCAGAGGAAAGGTCTGCTGTTCCCTGGCTTCAGGATTCAAACACAAATTCAGGGGTAGCCCTGCAAACACTTCCAGCCCAAGTGCTGCTGGAGCACAGCTTCAGTAATAGTCAGAGGGATAGTCAGAAATAAGTATGAAAGTCCTTTCAGTTTCACTCTGTTCACTAGAGGGGAAAGGGAAAAGTCAAATTTAAGCAAGGGGATGGAGTTTTCTTTAAAATTTTTGTGCTCTGACTGCCTCTGGTGATTCAAGACACTGACCTGCAGCATCTTCAGCCAGCACAGAGGCCAGCGAGGGTTGTGCTTCTATGACAACAGCCCCACGTTCTGGGCAAGTATCATTTGATCTTATTCTCTGTGTTGTGCTTCTAACAAAGCTGCTCAAGCTGGCCACATTCTGTAATTGCTTTTTCAGCTGAGATCTGAAAGTTACATTTGTAGCCAGGTACAATTCTGATTAGAGCAATCTAGGAGGGTTAATAGAGGCAGCAGTGCTTCAGTTAAAAGATCAGCCTGGAGTGTGTGGAAGGGTTCTGGGAAGGCAGGGGTAGAAAGAAGATACTGATTCCTGTATGATTAGTGCAATACATCATTGTTAAAGGTCTGCCTCTGCATCTTTAAAAGACCAGGCTTCAAGTGATGAGGGTTTCTCACTATCTCAAGCTTGTGTGAGTGGAATGGAGAAGTAGAGATTTTAATACTTTTTTTCTTCTCTAGCAAGCACACAAGTGTTGTCAATGGCATTAATGGCATTTGTGGAGATTAAAATGTGTATGAGGAAGATAAATGACTCAAATAGAGAATTTTATGTTGTCCAGTGTGGTGATGATACAAATCAACTAATCACCTGATTCATAATTTTTGCAGCTGAGATTTCTAAGGATAAGGAGGCAGTGAGTGCATTGGCCTGGGTGTCTGAATGGAAGTCAGTCAGATGTTGAATTCTTCATTTTAGAAATTCCTGCTATGAACCACAACACATGGCTAGAAGAGCTGTTTTCTGATACACTAATGAGAAGAAAATTTGTGCTTGTGTTTTCTGGAGTGCTTGCAAAGGACTGTAGTCTGACTGAAGAACAGCTGAAGTTCAGAAAAGAGTATATCAGAATTGTGCTGTATCCTACAGAGAAATACTTGTGGGGAGATTTTAATGCATTCACTGCAGCTGCTCACTGTTGAGCTACTGATAAATTTCTTTAGAACCTGCCCTTGTGAATGCAGTCTGTGAATGAAATGTCTGCTGCACCAGCCCTTTTCTGTGTGAGAAAATTGCATATGTTTAATCTGAGATAAACCGTTGTGTATATTGTACTGAAGTTTAAACCGGGCTGCTTTTGGCTTGTTTCCCCTCTGTTGGATTACCATTCCTATTTAAATTCCCCTGGGATAGCATTTTGGTTTATAGTTGTGAATTTTGAACTGTTTGTTTTGGTTTTGTTTGGGTTTGTGGGGTGTTGTTGTTGCTGGTTTTTTTCAGTGAATAGGTGAAATCCTGTGTGCAGGTGAGACTTGCTAAGAAGGAAGGTATTTGGGCACATTCTTGAGAGTAGACAGAGGAGTGAGTTTTGTTCCCAAAGGTGCCTGTGAATTTGAGTTGAGGAGAAAATTAACTTCTGTGGATGCTGGGTAAAGGAGAGGCTTCTGTCACTGCTCAGTGCCTTCTGACTCTGCACATGAGTAGCCCAGGCCCAGGTTTGGATGAGTAGCTGCTAATTAGACCTGTGCTGTCATTGTTCCAATTTGCCAACCCTGTGACTGGTTATAAGGAGCCAAGACCTTTGCTTATTTGATGTGTAGTAGTATCAAACAGCATCAGAGATTAAAAGTGTGGTATATCTGTTAAAAGGTAAAGTTTCTTTTCCTTCCTCTGTTGTAATTTGCTTTGTATAGTTGTGTTCTGTACAACCAGAGATGAAAAATCAGAGTCTTGCCTCCTCCCACCAAGTGTCTGAGCTGCACACATTAGAGCAGCCAGGGCTGTTCATGGCCCTTAATGATTCATATTCTGCTTTGTTTTTTTTTCTTCTGAATCTAAAAGGGATAATTTATCCATTCTAAATGCTGTCTGCATCCCCACTGAGCCCTCACATTTTATACAGTGCTGTGTATTCCAATTGCAGTCTTAGGAGTAGATAGGTGTTAGATAGATTCAAAGCTTCTGGCTGAAATTCCTGGTTTTTCATCTTTTCCCATTGCCTTTTTTTTCCTTCTGTAAATGTTGAGGATGGAACTTTTGTAAGGATAAAATGGTGGTGGTGCATGCACTAGAAATGCGGATTTTCCACAGAAGTAGTAAAAACAATTATTTAGGTTTATTTACCTTGGAGGCTGCTTGATGAGTTGCATGGTTGGGTGCACTGTCAAAGATTTTAGTTCTTGGTTTCAGTTTATTGGAGCAACAGAAGTGGCACCCTGCCACTGGAGTAAAGAATGCTGTTTCCCCATGAGTATTTGAACAATCTGCAGTAGCCATCTGTTATTCTGTTAAATACAAAGCAGTGCAACAGGTGTATTTCTTGGGTTTGGAAGTCTTACCAGCACGAGTGAACACTAAACAGGACTAAAGCCAGGATTTAAAAGAAGATTGCAAAGTGTGCTCCTCTTTAGTCAGCAGATATAGTGGTTGTGACATTAGAAAGTGGAGAGATAACCTAAACATATGGTACATAGTTAAGGAAAACAAATGCTGAACTGCTCTTAAATCTGTTCTTTTTCCATGTTTGTCATTTTCATAGATGGCTTCAGTAACAGATGCCAGATTCAGGCAGAAAGATACTTCAGACCAGAATTTTGATTACATGTTCAAGCTCCTGATCATTGGCAACAGCAGTGTAGGTAAAACGTCCTTCCTGTTCAGATACGCCGACGACACCTTCACCCCAGCCTTCGTCAGCACAGTGGGAATCGACTTCAAGGTGAAAACAGTTTACAGGAATGACAAGAGGGTCAAGCTGCAGATTTGGGTAAGTGCTAGCGTTTTCAAAGATGCTTTATATTAATCCCAGCAAAGGTGTGATGGTAAAAAATAGCTTGTTTGGAAGTGGATTTTTGGATTGGTGTCGTTTTTGGTTGTTCAGAAGTTCTGTGTGGCTGGACCTTTGTGTCCCTGCAGTAAACAGAGGGAGTTCTCGTTGTGTTACCTTTTCACTCAGCTGCTGAGGGTCCTGATGTGGTCCAAGCAGCTGCTCTACATTTCAATGAACTCTACACACAACTCATACTATCATTTTATGGCCTCTACATAAGATATCTACATAAGATACCTATGTATCTTCCTGCAACTCATGTACCTGCTCAGCAGCCCATTTCTACCCAATTTCTGCCCTATCTAAGAGCTTAATATTCTAGTGGATCTACCTACACTTGATTTATAATTCTTTAATAATTGCATTTAAGTGTAAAATTACAGTAATCACTTCTGGGTTTTTTATTTATTGTGGTGATCTTGAATAGTGAGAATCTAAAATGAGGTGCTCTTTTTGTGCTACAACTACATGATTCATTTTATTTCTGTGTTGCTGGGTACAATGTACAACAAATTAATTAATAAAAGATCCTTTTCATGTTGTAAAATCCTGACATTGAAACTAAAGTAAGTCGCCTGATATGAAATAGATTGATTTAATTTAGGGTTTTGGCAATAAAAACATTTTTACTTCAGGCCCTATAAGCAACTAAAGATGATTTCCATTTAGTTGGTCTTTCTGAATTTTGGAACATGAAATTTTCTAAGAAGTTGTATAAAAGCAAGACAGAAAACACCATAAAATATTAGAATTTTTTTCCCAAAGATACTGTGATTAAAGTGAATTAAGCAATAATCTTAATTAAATCTGTTAGAGGGCTTTGGGGCAAAAAAAGCTTTAATAACCTTAAGCTTCTTATGAAAAGAGATGTCAGGTGGATTCCTCAGAGGGTGCTATCCATAGGACCTGTAATATTAGAGTTACCAACAATACTGTTGATTTAACATTTATTTTTAATAAAAGGTACACCTAAGTGTTGGACAGTTTCCAGAGTAACTTGTGTTCTGTTCTCTCTTTTTGCATGGATCCCTGACATGAGTCATGATTCAAGGACCTTAACAAAAACCACTGTGTGCCTCCACCAAATTTCAACTTATTTGTCTCCTGCCTGCCTTGAGATTTTATTTGTTATTTTAATGTGTTCTCCAGGCTACATGAAGTAATAGTGGGGTCCATTAGCCTGCCAAAACTGAGTTCCTATGCGTAGGAAGAAAGAGTTTTCATACCAGCCTGTCTTCCAATTACTTAAAAAAATTTATTTACAGCTGCTGTTTAGTTTCTGGGAGTGTGGGGCTCTGTGGCTCCGTTGGACCCTTTCCTCTGACTTACAATTTTCCTGTTATGTTGACTTTTTTTCAGTTATGCTCCCCCTAAGCTTGGCATTAATCCTTATCTGAATCAGGCTTAATGTGAAACTAAGTGAAGAAGGTACAAGTGTTTGACTTAACCACTTCAAATGTTTTTCTAAAATTCAGAGAAAAGCACTTCTTTTCTCAGTTCAGGGGTGCTTGTGGAACTCTGAAGTGAGCACAGCTGTGGCAGACTGGAGGTGCTCAAGGGCTCTGCCAAATAACCTTGTTCTGTGCTCTGCAAGTCTCAAGGTGAGAGGGAAGTTGTTATTGCTGTGCCAGTTGTGATCCAGAGAGATCCATGATCAGTGGGACTTTCCTTCTGTTGCCTGAGTTGAACAGGAGAGCAGAATTTAGGTGCAGGACCCAGCTGCCAAGAGTTCTTAAAGCTCAGAAAAATTCACGCGGCTTCAAGGGCTGAGCAGCTGCAGGTAAAGACTGACAGTCTAGTCTAGTAAATGTCTCTCTGGCCTGACTCCTGGTTTTGTTTCTCCAGCAGAAGTTGATGAACATTTTCAAGCCAGAGATCTTGCATTTGTGTTTGTGCTGAGTTTGAGGAAGTCTGTATTTAGTGAATCAGGATTTGACAAGCTGTCACATGGAGCGATCAGAAGAGAGTGCTCCTCTGATTTTGGTGTCATTAATGGGCCTCTTGCTTTGTTGACATTAATGCCTCAATCACCCAAATTGATATTTTAATAATCAGTTGTGCTTGTGACTAAGCAGTCTGGGAAATGATCTGCTTTGAAAAGACTTGAAAGGAATATCTCTTTAGCTTGGGAGGAACGGGACATAACAGAGATATTCATGATGTTTTTAAGGTTTAAGGTAGAATGACAGCACTGCTGCTGCATGTGGAAACAGTGAAATGTTGAGAGAGGGGTTTATGAAATAATCTTTTGTCAGCTATTTTTCCCTTTCTTTAAAGAACTCCAAGACCAGTTGACTGTGTTTTAATTTCAAATATTTTCTGTCTTGTTTAGGAATGGTGGTATTGTCTTAATAGAATAAATTAACTTTATTGAGAACATTTGTTTTATAGTTGAATGAGGCTTAGTAATTTAATATCTAATTACAAACATTATTTACATAAATACATTCCTATATTATATAGATATTTACATATCTACATAAATGCAATTCTTGGATTAGATTTTTTTTTTATGCCACTACCATCTGTAATAATACTTTCATGTAAAGCATCCTCCTTATGATTGGGTTGTAAGGAGCCAATTTATAATATCTCTCTGCATTTCTTGACCAAGTTTTGTATTCCCAGAGTTGCTAATTACTGTTTACTGGAGGAAAACTATTATATTTTCAGCTAGGTATATTTTTTTTATCATAAATAAATCTCAAAGGTAACATTATTATATTCTTAGCAAATGCAAACAGTTAATACTTAATGCAGAGTTCAGGTTGCCTAGCAGCTAGAGAGGGCCACTTTGTCCAGATCCACATGGAAGCAGGGTGAATGAATAAAAGTGATTTCAGTTTTAGGTAAGAGCAAGGTGAGATTTCCTTTTCTCCTTTCTGTGCATTTGTGTGTCTGTTGCCGGTGAGGAGTAATGGTGGTGAAAATGACAGCAGAACTCCTGAGCAATGTGGCATTGAGGGGGGCAGCCTCTGGCCCTTTGTGCTGGCCCAATCTGGGTTCATTTCACGAACTCTTTGCATAGTCACATAAATTAATTGATGGAAAATCATTGGCAGGGTTCAGCCCCAAACACTTGCACACCACTCAATACATACTTTGTGTGAGGAATTTGATTCTATTTCTGTTATACTTTTGTGCAGCACCCTACACAAGGGACTCTCAACATTGATGTGATTAATAATAAACATAACTAAATACAGGGTTTGGCAGCTGATGTTACAGTTGAAACTAGTTTCAACCCCTCCTTGTAAAAAGCAGCAGAGATTAAATTTAACTTCAGGTTAAAAGGCAGAAAGGCTGTGATGTTCAGGCAGAGGCAGCATATTTAGACTTCAGTATGATTTTTCTTCTAAGGAGCTGTTTATCAGAATTAAACTGCTAGGATGAAGGTTTTTCCTTCTCATTAACAAAAATGTCTCAGTGGCTTAACTGCTGAAACCTGTTGGGGTGTGAGATCAGCTTTAGTGGATGTCTGAAACACGTGTTACAGCTCTCAGGCACAGCTGGGGAGAGGGTACAAAGCAATATTGCTCTGGGTTTTTTTGGATCTTTAAAAAAAGGAATATGACAACTGCTAATTATATTGAGTGTCAGTTACCACTACAAAACAGAAAAGTGTAAACCAGAATAACCCCCCTGCTGTGTAGCTGTCCAGAAGGCAAATACACAATGTTTTTAAAAGCTTTTTGTGTCAGGCATCCCTGGATGACAGGATGATCTTGAGCAGCTCGCCTCTCAGGGAGGGGATTCAAGGAAGTAACACTGGCAACCGAGTTGTTTTTTGTTTTTTTTTTTTTTTCTTTTTCATTTACAGGAGGTAAAATTAGAACACCATCATATTTGATTGTAAATTTTAATGTTAATTGCACACTTAACCAAAAGCTAATTATGCATTTCAGACGAGAGTCATCTATTCCCAAGGCATCCTATTCCTGTCATGGTTTTGCTAAGTTCCTTGCAAGCACTGACTGCAGGCTTGAATGCTTGCACAAAACTTCTTTCTAAAAAAAGAGGTAATAAGGTTCAGTAATTAAATTTATAGATGTGATAGTGATGGGTCTCTCTAAAGTACTAATGGGCCTGATTCTGCTTTTATAGACTCACAGTTGTGAAATCCTCTGATTTGCTGTTTAGATGAAGAACTAAAATGGAGAAATTCATGATAGTGAAAAGAACAGGCTGATCCTTGTAAGGGAGTCAAAGATTGCATTTTATTTGCAGCATTAAGGACGTACTGGGTCCCAGGAATGAAATCATTGTGGGTAAGTGGATGTAAAGCACTGCCTCTCATGCTTAAATACAATGCAGAATATTTGACTGGAGAAGAGATGCAATAACAGTGTCTGTAATTCAATTCCAAGGTCTTGGTTATATCTCAAGTAATAATACTTATGCTTTCAGAAGAACTTGGTGCTCATGCCACTCTGAATGGGCTTTAAGATTAGACTTGCAAGGGTGATACAAAGGAGGCAAATAAAAACTTGACAACTAAGACCCTGATGGGTCAGTTACCCCACTCTCTATTGAATTTATTGAGCAGCCTAAGCTTGCTGAGCAGGGCATTGCTGTGTTTGCAGTCAAACAGTTGGCATGGAGGGTTTATTTCTGTTTATAGTTAATCACCTCAATCTCTTTGTTATCTCATTATAACTCTGCATTACAGTGAAGGCCAAATTCAACTTCAGTCTAAGCTCTGATACTACTGCAATTATCCCTGCTGACAATACTGGATTTGCTCTCACTGCAGATGTAGTATCCTTCTTTGTGCTACATCTTTGCCGAGTTCCTGGGCCCTTGAAGGCTTTGTTTTGTGCATTTCAGTAAAATGAAACATGTTGTGTTCAGAGGTAGCAGGCTGTATCCAGGGGCAGTGTCGAGTGTGTGTTTGTTGATAAAGAGCTGTTGGTAGTTCAAAGGTTTGGACCTTTCCT